AAATTTTGAAATAAAAGTAGTAGTAGAACACTTATGCTATATTATTCAAACCACTCAAATAACCTTTGGAGATCGAAAATTGAACGTAAAATGAGAGATCATTGAACAAAACATATTTGTAGGATGCCAGTGGACTGTATGCTCATAACTTTCCTCGGGTGGTGATTTTTCGGATAGATGCCCGCTCCCCCTGTGGGATTGGGCCACGGATGGACAACGCCGATGGTTGCCTTCTCGGTGGAGGCAGGTCTGGTGACTGGCTGCCTCGGAAGCTTCACGCTTCCTCTCTGGGATGCCTCGCAAGGCTGGCGGAACGATGGATCTCCAAGGTGGCCACGGTTGGCCGGAAAATTCAAAAACATAAACTCTTATTGACTCTGAAAAGAGCCGGTTGGTTGTGGTCGTGGCAAATGGAAAGGGAGCAAGTATCGGAGCAGAACATATAGGCACACACACTTCTTTACTTGTTCATATTGTTGTTATTTCACTTGTTTCTACATTGATTTCTCTTCGTTTCTTCACACTAACACTAGTACGCCGTCCGGGAATCGGGGCCCTGCCGATTGGAACCGAACGACGATGACTGCTGCTGCTATTGTTGCTATTTGCTGCGCCGCGCCAAGCTGTCGCCGACCGACTGCTACTGCTCGGGTCAGGTCGATTTCGCGGCCGACTGCTGCTGCTGCTGCTGGCGATTCGTTTTCTTCTTCGGGTTGTCTCTTCGGCTTGATGTTTACTCTTTCGTGACTTGCGTAAAACTGAGCTGAGCGCACAGCAGCGCGTGTTTTTATATCTGCGTTGGTTCGGCTGCTGCGCTCTGATTGGTGGTCTTCGTGGCTGTCGCAAATTCCTCCTCTTCTTCAAATTTCAGCCCGCTGCCGGTGCACGGACTGAACAATATTTGCATGGTTATTTGGGGGTGTCCTTAAACTTATGACCGGTAGTGTACCTGTCAATTCGTTGGGGTATTTTGTGGTTTTGAATTTCAAACCTAGGCGTCGCATGCACTGGTGCAGTTTCGCGTAAATTCATCAATCATGCAGAAGCCGAAACAATACGCCTTTTTAGTAGAAACTAAGCGATCGAATCAACCTCTGGTGGTGAATATAAGAACGTCAAAAAGAGTGTTGTGACACAGAGAACAGACGTCCAAGCTCGGTCATAAACTTGTGTAAGTTAAGTGGAAACGTCGCCGTTACGTCACAGAGAACAGACATGGAGGCTCGAACAAAATTTCTCTAAAAACTTGTGTAACGATTCCTATTTGACTTAAGCGCCACTAACAGCGACTTCCCCACTTAAAAAAACCTCTTTGAAAACATGATGGCGCTGGCGTTGCACAAATTACACTAGACACTAAGTGCTAGTAGCGCCAAGTGGCTATTTTCAACAGAAAATTTATCGATACTAGCGCCAAATTGGTCGAAAGTGGAAAATTTATAGAGAAAATCAGGAGATGCTAACACCACAGAGAACAGACGTTCAAGTTCGGTCAGAAACTTGTGTAAAATAAATGGGAACGTCGCCGTTACGTGGTGTTAGCATCTCCTGATTTTCTCTATAAATTTTCCACTTTCGACCAATTTGGCGCTAGTATCGATAAATTTTCCATTGAAAATTGCCACTTGGCGCTACTAGCACTTAGTGTCTAGTGTAATTTGTGCAACGACAGCGCCATCAGGTTGTCAAAGAGGGTTTTTAAGTGGGGAAGTCGCCGTTAGTGGCGCTTAAGTCGAATAGGAATCTTTACACAAGTTTTTAGAGAAATTTTATTCGAGCCTCAATGTCTGTTCTCTGTGCTAACACCACGTAACGGCGACGTTCCCACTTATTTTACACAAGTTTCTGACCGAGCTTCAACGTCTGTTCTCTGTGGTTACGTAGCGCTAGCATCTCCTGATTTCCGATATAAATTTTGCACTTTCAGTCAATTTGGCGCTAGTATCGATAAATTTTCTGTTGAAAATTGCCACTTGGCGCTAACAGCACTTAGCGTCTAGTGTAAGTTTTGCAACGCCAGTACCATCATGTTGTCAAAGAGGTTTTTAAAGTGGGGAAGTCGCCGTTAGTGGCGCTTAAGTCAAATAGGAATCGTTACACAAGTTTTTAGAGAAATTTTGTTCGAGCCTCCATGTCTGTTCTCTGTGATCACGTTATATACCGAGATGATATTCTATATCAAGTAGGGTGTTCAAACGTGATATAGCTTGACATATTGACGTTTCTGTTAAACAACTGTCATCGATGAAAACATTTTTTGAAGCGGTTTGTTTCGTCGTAGTTTAGCGGTCAGTTTTGTTTCCTGATGGTGCGTGGTGGTACGCTTGCTCTTGCTGCGTTTTCTTGCTGGCTCCATTTTCTTTAATTCAAATTAAACTCAAGTTGCGATTGAAGGAGGAAATTGATAAATACAACAACTGAAGGAGGCAAATGAGAAAATTGATTGAGAACATGCATGCGTCAAATGGACTGTAAACAAAAATATCGCCCAGTGCTATGTAGGCCGGGATGCCAACTACAACTTTTCCACTTTATATTACGAAAGGAACGTGATATACGCTATATCATGCTTCGTGCGTAATATAGAATGACAGCTTATTTATATGGGATATTACTTGATATCGAGCGTGATATAGCTGCTATATTACGAATCGCCACAGAGAACAGACATGGAGGCTCGAACAAAATTTCTCTAAAAACTTGTGTAAAGATTCCTATTTGACCTAAGCGCCACTAACGGCGACTTCCCCACTTAAAAACCCTCTTTGACAACATGATGGCACTGGCGTTGCACAAATTACACTAGACACTAAGTGCTAGCAGCGCCAAGTGGCCCATTTTCAACAGAAAATTTATCGATACTAGCGCCAAATTGGTCGAAAGTGGACAATTTATAAAGAAAATCAGGAGATGCTAACACCACGTAACGGCGACGTTCCCACTTATTTTACACAAGTTTCTGACCGAGCTTGAACGTCTGTTCTCTGTGGAATCGCTCTATATCAAGTAATATAGAGCGTAGTGAGAACGTAGCATAATTCGCCGTTATGGATTCTTGATCAAGAGTTAAGTTTTAGTTTCATGTCGGTTTGCCGGTGTTTGATCGTCGATTCGGCATACTGGTAGCTCGCACACGCTTAGTACTACCATTTTCTCTATCTGATGGTAGTGTTAGCACAGAGAACAGACGTTCAAGCTCGATCAGAAACTTGTGTAAAATAAGTGGGAACGTCGCCGTTACGTGGTGTTAGCATCTCCTGATTTTCTCTATAAATTTTCCACTTTCGACCAATTTGGCGCTAGTATCGATAAATTTTCTGTTGAAAATTGCCACTTGGCGCTACTAGCACTTAGTGTCTAGTGTAATTTGTGCAACGCCAGCGCTATCATGTTGTCAAAGAGGGTTTTTAAGTGGGGAAGTCGCCGTTAGTGGTGCTTAAGTCAAATAGGAATCTTTACACAAGTTTTTAGAGAAATTTTGTTCGAGCCTCAATGTCTGTTCTCTGTGGTAAAGATTCCTATTTGACTTAAGCGCCACTAACGGCGACTTCCCCACTTAAAAACCCTCTTTGACAACATGATGGCGCTGGCGTTGCACAAATTACACTAGACACTAAGTGCTGGTAGAGCCAAGTGGCAATTTTCAACAGAAAATGTATCGATACTAGCGCCAAATTGGTCGAAAGTGGAAAATTTATAGAGGAAATCAGGAGATGCTAACACCACGTAACGGCGACGTTCCCACTTATTTTACACAAGTTTCTGACCGAGCTTGAACGTCTGTTCTCTGTGATTGAGGCTCGAATAAAATTTCTCTAAAAACTTGTGTAAAGATTCCTATTCGACTTAAGCGCCACTAACGGCGACTTCCCCACCTTAAAAAACCTCTTTGACAACATGATGGCACTGGCGTTGAAAAACTTACACTAGACACTAAGTGTTGGTAGCGCCAAGTGGCAATTTTCAACAGATAATTTATCGATACTAGCGCCAAATTGACCGAAAGTGAAAAAATTATAGCAGAAATCAGGAGATGCTAGCGCTACGTAACGGCGGCGTTTCCACTTAACTTTACACAAGTTTCTGACCGAGCTTGGGCGTCTATTCTCTGTGGTATTATTCTCACAGACTGACCTCTAACGATTTTCGATAACGATATTCGAAAAAAAAATCTGGAAATGCCCGGAAAATGCAACTCACTTCCGCTTAGGCCAAAATTGAGTCAACTTGACTTAATTTTGAGTTTGTCTGAACGACCGTGCATAATAAGCGCCAAATAGGTCGAAAGCCGAATATTTATAGAGAAAATCAGGCGATGCTAGCGCTACGTAACGGAGACTTTCCCACTTATCTTTACACATGTTTCTGGTGGAAGTTGGACGTCTGTTCTCTGTGATTTTGAGTTTGTCTGAACGACCGCATAAAACACGGCGAATGAGAACGACTCAAATTTGAGTTTAGTTCACTCATAATCGCCAACAGTGCAGGAACTCAGCGATGAGTTAATTTGCCTCATGTTTTCCCAGGTTTTTCCAGAGAAAAATTCCTGAATTTGAGAAAAGTAAAGATTGGATTCACTCAACCTATTGGTACTACTCCGAGACTGAATAAAATTTTCGTCAATTTCCTCATTTTCCGGCAGATTTTTTAGGTTTTCCACAGGAAACCATGAGGCAAATTTTACTCATCGTTGAGTTCCTGCACTTTTGGCGATTATGAGTGAACTAAACTCAAATTTGAGTCGTTCTCATTCGCCAAAATGAAAATTGAATGCTCGATCAGTGAAATGAATAATTAAATTCACACCAATCTTTTCCAGTGCCTATCACCAGTTTCCTCAACTGAAGTGCAGGTGGCGCATGACTCGGAAAGAAGCCACTCGTCTGTCTGTCACCGCGGTGAAAGTTTTTTCTGACAAGCGAAGGTGGATGATGACAGTCCGAGAAAGGCGAGAGAGACAAAAAAAAGTCCTAAAGAAAGGTTGTGCAGCTGCTGCTTGCTGGAAGAAAAGTTTCGCTGGTCTCTTCTGCGGTGCAGCAGGGAAATTAGTGCTCATTTTTTATACAACTTTAATCCATCATCGACACATGCATTGATTGCACAAAAGTCACCGAAGCTTCCCATCGAGCCGGCCGTGTTTACGAACGTTTTTTTCCCGTTCCGATTTTCTACCTTTTCTGCTGCTGCTGCTGCTGATCCCTCCGAGGTGCGGAAGAAGCGAAATGAGCTCGACGACGATTCCCACTATCTGCAAGGACCTGGACGGTGACGATCGATGGCTGAGCGTACACAAGCGCTTCGTGCAGGAGTGCAAGGAAAAGGACCCGGACGTGATGTTCATCGGCGATTGCATTCTGGAGTCGCTGCAGTTTACCGAATTTTGGAATAGTCACTTTGTGCCGATGCATTGTTTGAATTTTAGCATACGGAACGACCGGACCCAGAACGTGCTCTGGCGGCTGCAGAATGGAGAGCTGGACAACGTGAAACCGAAGGTTATCGTGCTGCACGTTGGGACGAACAACATTAGCGACAGTGCGGACGAAGTTGCCGAAGGGGTGCTAGAGGTAGCCAAGACCATTCGGAACAAGCTGCCCGATGTGTACGTGGTGATTCCGGTGAGTACTGGGTCGCGGGGTGGATGTGGGGGAATTGTCCTGGTGGTTGTTTTCGTTGCTGTGTTGAACCACATTTATATTCAGATTGTAGAGTATGATATTGATGACAAATTTCATTACAAAATTGAATGGGTTTTCACTCATAATCACTAATACGTAGGTTTCTCATAAGCAGGCATGGAAAATCATTTACATTCATTTCATGCATTCATTTACCTACATTCATTTGCCTCTAACTTTTTCCATCAGCAGCATTCCTCAAAATGATGTATAGAGCTTTACTAGGTTTTGTTATTAGCTACTTTTGGCTATAACTCAAATCTGTATCTCTTATGCATCACGAATTAGAGTGGGCAGAACTCTTTACTGTTTTTCAGTGAATGTAAAATACATTCACTGAAAAACAGTAGTGGATTCTGGTTCGTCATGCATAAGAGATACGGATTTGAGTTCTTAACAAAAGTGTTAGCTAATAACAAAACCTACAAAAGCCCATACATCATTTTACGGAATTTTATTGATGAAAAAAGTTAGGGGCAAATGAATGTAATTGAATGCACGAAATGAATGCAAATGATTTTCCATGCCTGCTCATAAGACTGAGTAAAATGTTCCTAGCTTTTGCTAGAAAAAAAAATGTGCTAGAATATGACTAAAATCGACTCAGTCGAGTATGCTTATGGACGGAGTAAAACCTGTCTCGGTTTTCCTCCAACAGTTTTTCCTGAAAAATCACACTTCATTTTTTCCGAATTTGATTGCACGAAACTCATATTTAAGTTGGTTATAATTGGCCGTGTAGTGATTGATATGCTGGTTTATATCACGGAAAGTTGCAGCAGCATCACAGTATGTCTTTGTATTGCTCTTGGGCAATCGCAGCCCTGTCTGATCTGGTCATTCGCAATGCAAGCAACTGCTGGATTGGTCCCAAGTCGTTCTTATTGAGGTACACACAGTTGCTGTTTGAACCGGGTCATCTGGATAAATCAGAAAATCATAGACATGAATTGCAACGATGAAAAACTTTCTCTTGGTTTAGGTTTGGCTCAGAATCTTTCTAGCTCAGTGGTTATCAACCTTTTTTATTCCATGCCGACCTTTTCAAAAATTGCTCCACCGTTCTCTCTCCAACATAAAAGTTCGATAGTTAAATACAATCCATTCAAAGTGATTTTATGTTACTTCATACGCGAAGTTTGCGATTTTTCAGAGTTGGTTGGAAATGGTATCTAATTTTTTTTTATATCTATTAAGGAGACTTTCAGCCGTTGGCTGACTCGTCTCCGACAAATGGTATCTAACATGAAGCTTTAGTGTGATAATTTATTAGCTAGAGAATGGTCTTAGAAGAGGGTAGGTAGATAGTTCCGTTAGAGTACGGCAATATGAAAATTGAATAGAAGTTTGAAAATGCGACAGTGCAAGTCAAACGCACACTCTTTGCCTAACCCGTACAATGTTCGCGGATAGCACTTCCAACCAATTCTGAAAAATCGCAAACTTCGCGCATGAAGAATTAATTAATTAATTTATCTTTATTAGGGAGGCTTTCAGCCTTGGGCTGGTTCGCCTTGCGCATGAAGAAGTATTTACTGCCACGTACAGCAAACTTCCGATAAGGCTGGCATATTGATGGTTCTAGCAAAGCTTCTTCAACTCCTCCTTTCGCTGGATGTGTGCAGGAACTAGCGGATATTTGGATGTCTTCGCTTGATTAATGCCAAATTGTGTCAAAACTTGTACGTCTTTTGGTTCAAGTAGAATCCCTTCTTGGTGCATCTCACTTTGATACCGAAGAAATGGCTGATGTCTCCCAACGACGTCACCTTAAAATGGCGGTTTAATGTTTTGATGATATCTTTATAGCCGTTCTCACCGTGGCAAGTAATTACCATGTCATCCATTTCATCTAATTTGCGTTTGAAAAGCCATTTACTACCAACCGCTTTGCGACCCGGCGGTAAATCGGTTAGCTACCTAGGGCTTTTATCTCGTCATCCATAACTGTTTTCCACAGTTCGACTTCGGGACCCTTCATGGCTTCGTTGTACGTCTTTGGCTCGTCATTTAGTTTCCTCACTATACCAGTTGTTTTTCGAAAACGTTGGGGTTACACTCCCTGGGTGCTACGAAATGACCGTCGAATTGATGTAGCTGCTTCGTTGTCATCGGCAATTCTTCATTGGGATCAGAACTGAAGGTGATAACTTCATACTCGTACTCTACAATTTCGGATGATTGCAGATCCTTGAAATGGTTGTCAATTTTTTCCATCTCGATGAACTTTGCATCACGGCTGACATATCGATGAACCAGAACGCTTTGTGGCTATGGGCATACCCAATAAACGTTAGCTTCCGCAGGGGATCAAACTTTTGACACATGGACGATTGCCGAGCACCCAAAACTGTGCAGATTGCTGTAATCAGTGGTGGCACGAGTCCTGGAGTTTAACATTTTTTCCTTAACATTTGATACATTTTGCGATAACCATTGTGACGACACACAAAACCAAACTGGCAAACGGCAAAAATGTCATGACATTTCTAAACTGTTTTCTGCCAGCGACAGAACATTTTTGCACAAAGAAGCGCGCGACACAAATTTATGTCGTGTAGAATTTTGCTGATTTCTGGCTAATTGCTGCATTTATTTGATGTTTATTGCATGAAATTAAAAGATAAGAATGAAGACTGACCACTCATAAGCATTGATGTTAAAATTATGCGTAAATAAGGGAGTTGGTAATTTACTGTCACACGCAAGCCTGCAGCTAAAATTTCATTACAATAAACTGTTTGGAAAAATCAGGCTGCGAGATTTTATTTATTCTCTATCTCCGCTGTTCGCTTGGAATGTAGTTATACACGGTCGCCCGTGTGCTGGCTGTTTTGTTTCGCTCTGGACGATGGTTTTTCAAAAAATGTACTGTTGCCACCTCTGGCTGTAATCCGGTTGCTTCCCGTACCACAATTTGAACGATGTCTTCTTGATGGACGGAAGGATGTTTTGTAGATATGCAGCTGCAGTGATGGCTTTGGACCCGTATCGGTAATCGAGTTTCGCATCAAGTAGCATGCAACGGGTCATCTCCACTAGTGTCCGATTTTTGCGTTCCGCAACTACGTTTTGCTGCGGAGAATAAGCTGCTGTATATTGCGGAACGATTCCGTTGGCCCAGTAAAAACTTCCCAAATGTATTCACCGCCCTGATCTGAGCGGATGACAGCAGGATTTCGTCCAAAACGGTTTCGAACCACAGTGACGTACTCCCACAGAGAACAGACATGGAGGCTTGAACAAAATTTCTCTAAAAACTTGTGTAAAGATTCCTATCCGACTTAAGCGCCACTAACGGCGACTTCCCCACTTAAAAACCCTCTTTGACAACATGATGGCGCTGGCGTTGCACAAATTACACTAGACACTAAGTGCTAGTAGCGCCAAGTGGCAATTTTCAACAGAAAATTTATCGATACTAGCGCCAAATTGGTCGAAAGTGGAAAATTCAGAGTGTGCAACTCCAGCGCCTTCAGGATGTCAAAGAGAGTTTTTAAGTGGGGAAGTCGCCGTTAGTAGCGCTAAAGTCAAATAGGAATCTTTACACAAGTTTTTAGAGAAATTTTGTTCGAGCCTCAATGTCTGTTCTCTGTGACAAAACGGCCAGTTACAACCAATTTGACCGAATTCGTGTCGCTCTGCGTTCGGACCATGGACTCTGGCGGACAAATCGACGCTGTTTACACTGATCTCAAGGCTGCATTTGACCGAGTAGACCTCAGCATTCTTTTGAGCAAGCTCACAGAGAACAGACATGGAGGCTCGAACAAAATTTCTCTAAAAACTTGTGTAAAGATTCCTATCCGACTTAAGCGCCACTAACGGCGACTTCCCCACTTAAAAACCCTCTTTGACAACATGATGGCACTGGCGTTGCACAAATTACACTAGACACTAAGTGCTAGTAGCGCCAAGTGGCAATTTTCAACAGAAAATTTATCGATACTAGCGCCGAATTGGTCGAAAGTGGAAAATTTATATCGAAAATCAGGAGATGCTAGCACCACGTAACGGTGACGTTCTCACTTATTTTACACAAGTTTCTGACCGAGCTTGAACGTCTGTTCTCTGTGGCAAGCTTGAGAAAGTCGGAGTGTTTGGATCTTTCATCTTACCTTACGAACCGTTCGCTTTGCGTTAAGATTCTTCTCGTTCTGAAGTGTTCACGAACGTTTCCGGCGTTCCCCAAGGAAGTAATCTGGGACCTCTTCTGTTTTCGCTTTTCGGCAATGAGCTCTCGTGTCTACTGCCACCTGAATGCCGACTATTCTACGCTGACGATGTCAAAATGTATGTGGTTATCAATTTCATCGCTGATTGTGAGGAGTTGCAGCTGATGGTGGATCGTATGCAGAGTAATTTCTTGACGCTCAGCATCCTATCACAGGTGCAATGAGATATCATTTCACCGCAAACAAAACCCGATAATATTTAATTATTCCATTGCCGGGCTAACATTAGAGAGGATTAGCCAGGTCAAAGATTTGGGAGTAACACTCAACTGTGAATTGATCTTCAAACCGAGGGGGCGACACATCTAAACCTCAAGTTTAGATGCTCAACAAATCTCATGCTAGCAAATCAATCTCCGAAAAATCTTCTTTCATTTGTCGCATCATATTTTTGCAAGAAATCTTCAGAATTGTCATCAATCTTCTTTCTATCTACTCAGCGTGCGTGCAGCTAGCCACAGCAAAACACAATCTTTTCTGTATCGTCGATAGAGTCGTCCCCCTCGCTTCAAGCCGCACTATAATCACAGAGAACAGACGTTCAAGCTCGGCAGAAACTTGTGTAAAATAAGTGGGAACGTCGCCGTTACGTGGTGTTAGCATCTCCTGATTTTCTCTATAAATTTTCCACTTTCGACCAATTTGGCGCTAGTATCGATACATTTTCTGTTGAAAATTGCCACTTGGCGCTACTAGCACTTAGTGTCTAGTGTAATTTGTGCAACGCCAGCGCCATCATGTTGTCAAAGAGGGTTTTTAAGTGGGAAAGTCGCCGTTAGTGGCGCTTAAGTCAAATAGGAATCTTTGCACAAGTTTTTAGAGAAATTTTGTTCGAGCCTCCATGTCTGTTCTCTGTGCTATAATGACATCCTGACTAAAGCTAACAGGCAGCTTGGCTTATGTTCAAAATATCTGAAGACTTTCGCGATCCGCTTTGCCTGCGGGTGCTGTATTGTCCGTTAGTACGTTCAATCTTAGAGTATAGTCAACCGGTGCAAACTAACGATTTTAAATTTGCTCACTAGCCAATTGGTCCCAAGCAAATCAATTAACTTACCCCATTCTAGTCCTACACTATGTTTGTTTTGATTCGCTATGAAAGTTTGATCGATAAAATGAGGGGTTCGTGGATTTTCTTATGTTACGAGGGGTGCATCGAATAGATTGGGAGCGAAGAAAGTACCAGAGCTGAGCCAAAAAGTTAAGTACGTTTCTTCGGGATCTTCTGGTCTTAGAGTTACCTCTATGGTATAGTGCTGTCGTTTAATGCCCATACGCTATTTCAAAACTACCTAAATTTGGATAGAATCCACCCAGATCGGTCAAAACTGAACCTACCCAAAAATGGGTAAACTATGTTGGGAGTGACAACTTGACAAATGAACAACATCGACATGAATCCGATCGTTCATTTGTCAACTTGTCTCTCCCAACATAGTTTACCCGTTTACCCATTTTTGGGTAGGTCCAGTTTTGACCGATCCAGGTGGATTCTACCCAAATTTAGGTAGTTTTGAAATAGCGTGCATACCAAACATGCTGGATAGACAGATTTGAGAGTATACAGAGAAAGGTTGTTCGCTAAAGCATTTAATCTCAAAAACTTTTAAAAGTGCCATAATCTTTAATTTATTTTTTCACTTACTGAGACATGAAATCATGCATTTTCACTAGCTTCATCCCAACATATCTTAGTTAGTTACTTTCAGAATCCATCCCAATAGTTTAATGATTCCAGAGAGTTATTCCTTTGAAATTTTCTCAGTAGTTGTCCCGGGATCCTCTGTACATTTTTTTCTCTGTTGGACCTAACACTACTGCGACCAATAAATTGATCTATTGTAGTATATCCCGTGTCCTTAGTTTAGTGCATGTCGTATTACTCCATCACTATTGAGAAATGATGAAGTATTCGTTTTTTTTACAGTTGCCACTCTTGCATTTATCGCAAGGACCCGACTCTAATTGAAAGGTCCCGCTATTTATACCCTTCGGAGTGTTGAAACACCCTCCAAAGGCGCGCCCCATTGTCAGTCAAAATTGGATTCCTTAGCAACAAAATTAATGATAATGATCATGCATCAGAACCTTAGTCTTAACCACTTCAAACTAGGGAACAACGAATAGACGATTAAGAATCACATAGATGAAGACAACTAACTCATTTTTTTTCCTTGTATCAAGATCATCCTCGGTAGACAAAGCCGAGTCTTGTCACTATCAACAAGGCGTAAAAAGTAACAAGGACTAAGATGTGTTCCTTGGATTACTGAAAAATCCTGTTCACCTAGTTTGAAGTAGTCAGGACTAGTAATCGGTGGTAGATCTTACATCCCGTAACGTACCACGAAAAGGTGATCTACCCTCGTTACGGGGCAGATACAATTTAGAACACCCTCCAGGATTTCCTGAAGCTGAACCAAGCATTTGATCCTAAGTAACATTGGCAGATTCTTTTCGTCGACTTTCTCCTTGCATATTCACGGGCATGTTAAGACTTTCCCAGCTATTTTAAGCACACAGATCGACGAAAGAAGCTATTATCTAGCTTCTAGTACGACAAACATGACAAGTTATTAACGAAAGAGATTGTAGATTAAGAGAATTCATCAATGTTACTTAGGATCTAATGCATAGTTCAGCTTGAATTATGCTCTTATTTTCAATAATTCTCGAAAGAACTGGCTTAGTTTTCTCTTGACTCTCTTTTATCACAGAGAACAGACGTCCAACTTCGGTCAGAAACTTGTGTAAAGTGGGAACGTCGCCGTTACGTAGCGCTAGCATCTCCTGGTTTCCTCTATAAATTTTCCACTTTCGACCAATTTGGCGCTAGTATCGATACATTTTCTGTTGAAAATTGCCTTTTGGCACTACCAGCACTGAGTGTCTAGTGTAAGTTGTGCAATGCCATCAGGTTGTCAAAGAGGGTTTTTAAGTGGGGAAATTGCCGTTAATGGCGCTAAAGTCGAATAGGAATCTTTACACTAGTTTTCACAGAATTTTGTTCGAGCCCCAACGTCTGTTCTCTGTGCTTTTATATTGCACTGGAATATCTCTCATATTGTCTCCTTAGAAATTTAGAGAGCTTGGAATCTTCTTACAAATATCCCTTGAAGTTCAGCTCGGAATTGTCCTGAAGTTCGAACCAGAATGATTTAGAAATTCAGTTTTTTTTGCTCTGAAAATTGTTTGTAATTAAGCTTAATTAAAGTATTATCTCAAAATTCCATTATTATTCACCTCAAAATTCCATGAGAATAGTTTTCAGAAATTCCATTGCAGTTTAGAAGTCCATTGAAGTGAAGAAGGAGCTCTTAAGAAGATTAAAAAAAAGCTTCTTTAGCTTTCCCGTCGCTCTGCTCGTCCGATAAAAACAACACACGGGACAGTAAATCTGAGTGAAGGTTGACTAGAAGTAAATTGGTACGCTCAAAAATACCTGTAATTCGTGATTCAATACGTTTAAAAAGTCCATTAATGGTTGCTTTACTGTACTTTTATTAAAACTTCAAAGTTACAGCATTAGATGGTTACATTTCTCCAGTTCGAACGAAATCTCGAACCTTCCTCTTGATGGAGCCGATTAGCGCCCGCACAACAGAAACGGACATGGAATCAGCGCATTTCTTCCATTTTGCCCACAATTGCTGGATGTCCTTGACTACCCCGCCGCTTCATCGAAGTCGCTGCTTTGAAATTGCCCAGTTTTATTTCGATTGGTCGAAATTCCGGGCAATTCGGAGGATTCATTAGACTCCAGAACCACCTTGCAGTAGTGACAGCTGGCCAAATAGTGCCAAAAGATGACTTTGCCCCTATGCTTGCGGATGAACGGCAATCAGAGCGTAAAATTATTGACTGCCTAGGCTGAGAGTGAAAGCACTGCACTATTCAATCCATTGCTCTGTGCAGACCGTTTGTACCAAACGGTAAAGGACGAGGCAATGAAAGAGCCAACAAAAACATAAAGTCACTCACGAGCAGGCGACGCACATCGCTTGCCTTCGCTCACACAGCATGTAATTGATCATTTTAGATGGTCCAGTTTTGAACCCACCACAGCATGCTTTTGGCGCTATTGTATATGGACGATCAAATGTAAAATACTGTGGTAGTCACAGCATAGTTCTGTCAAAACCTCAGCATTTTCATTGATCCATTGAGTAATTTTTCCATAGAAAATGTACGCTCAGTCATTCAAAACAAATATTGGGTACCATCATGGCAAAATAAACGTGTTGACTGAGCTACTGACTGAGTGCTCGGCTGTCAGTGACTTGTTTACCTCTCAATCATTCAGACTCTCACGAGGCAGTGAATGATGAGGCAGATGGCAGTTCATATTCATGTCAATACGTGCTTCTTCAGGCATTCTTCGATGTATACTTGGAATGTCATCGTCGAGGATGTGACGAATGGTTCCGTTTTCAAGTCACAACTGCAAATCGCTTACCAAATCATCGTGAACTTGTCGGCAAACTCGAAATCCTCCCAGCACACCCCCACGTCCAATCGCGACGTAAAACTATTGACTGGGAAGCTGCTTAAAATCGAGTTTGACGTATGTTTCGTCATCGATCAAAGTGCAGCCTTTATGTTTCGTCAAAACACGGTCGTACAAGAGCCTTGCACGCTTTTTGGCCGCCACGGAACTCTGCTTCATGTGCCGGTTCGGATGTTTACTGGCTTTGTACGACTTGTATCCTTTCCTGGCAAGGATGTTCCGCACCGTTTGAAAGTTGGCGTTGAACCTTCTGGTCACATCTCGGATCGAAAGACCGGGGCTGGCTTTAACGCACCTCAACACCTTTTTCGTAGATCCGCTGATTCCTTTCCACACTCAGGGCACAGAGAACAGACGTTCAAGCTCGGTCAGAAACTTGTGTAAAATAAGTGGGAACGTCGCCGTTACGTGGTGTTAGCATCTCCTGATTTTCTCTATAAATTTTCCACTTTCGACCAATTTGGCGCTAGTATCGATAAATTTTCTGTTGAAAATTGCCACTTGGCGCTACTAGCACTTAGTGTCTAGTGTAATTTGTGCAACGTCAGTGCCATCAGGATGTCAAAGAGAGTTTTTAAGTGGGGAAGTCGCCGTTAGTGGCGCTTCAGTCGAATAGGAATCTTTACACAAGTTTTTAGAGAAATTTTGTTCGAGCCTCCATGTCTGTTCTCTGTGCTCAGGGTTTTCTTGTAGGTTTTGAACACTCGACAAACTGTTGTTTTCGGCATCTTCAGCACTTTAGCCAGCTTGGAACCGGACCACTCCGGATTTTCCAGGTGTTTGTGCACAATATTTGTTCTTGTTTCGAGTTCCATTTGACGTTATTCCTGAACGCGACCGACTACTTTGATCAAACTTGCATCAGATGTTCTCTATAGAAGCAGTAAAAGACCATTTGTCCAAGGTTTAAGGAGTATTTCATGGTTTTAATAAGCAATTTCCTAAACATTATTGGATCAATTAATTCACATATTTAGTGATGGCACTCTTGCCCCGTAAGCCCCTAATTTGCCGTGATTGGCACCGCCGAATAACTCGGCTATATAGCGTCTAGAGCAAACCCCATTGCGAAACGCATCAAATCAAATGCGAAATCAATAAACAATCTCGCCTTACCTTCATTTTAGACCCTTCTTCCCCGCGGGCACCAACCAAACGCGCTGCGAGACAAGAACAGCGCCGTCAATCAGCTGCTCAAGGAACGCTGCGTCGGCATGAACAAGGTCCAGATCGTGTGCGTCGACACCGGCCTAATACAGAGCGACGGCACCATCAGCCATCACGACATGTTCGACTATCTGAACCTGACCAACGTGGGCTGCAAGAAAGTCTTCGAACCGGTTTGGGACCTGCTGCAGCAGATATTAACCGAAAACGAAAAGGAACGCGACCTTACACCGTCGGAGTGAACTTCTTGAAAGCCTTCACAGCCACAGCGACACATTTGCATGCGTAGAAAAGCAGCTAGGGATTTATTTTGTTCGCTGCTAGTTGTAGGAATAAAAAATAAAAAAAAAACACCACACTCTCACACACATATACATTCCCTTTGATTGTAGGAAGGCTTATTCAAATGCGTTGATTCATGCGCTAGACTTATGATGGAAGTTCATATGTTTATCATTATTGTACTCACATTGATATTATTTATTTCACGTATTTGATTATTTATTAGGCGTATAATTATAGTTGTGTAGCTTTATACTGATGATGGCAAAGATTTATTCGCTAGTAACGTATTTATATTCGTAGGCATTAAAAGGTAGCTTCCAAATATGTTTCGCTTTACCTTCATTCCAAATCAAAAGCTTCTAATTGCAACACAAGAAATTGCACCCGTACTAGACTAGACACTTAAGACTAACCATTCCGTAGACTGTCTTCTTGTAAGTAGTGATTCTTCAAAACCATTCCACACCTTTTACCTCACACAAGTACGATGATACGGATTCCTGTCACTCGAAACGTTAGAATTTACTCATGATCTCAAACTTGATGAACTGAAATCTACGACGAAAGAAAAACAAACATCTACCTACCTACTCTGAATTGCATATTTTTCTACCGAAATAATCTTAAAACAATACAATCTATCTTTAAACAGTTGCTACAGAAGCATTGAAGTTAAAGCGTTAAGGAACTAGACTTATGAACAATATTGGACTTTTTACAAATCAACAACCAAAAAAAAAATAACACATTAAAAGGATGCAAAGATTTCAGCTATCCGGTGCAGCGTGCGTTCGCATGGGCGTTTCGAATACGTTTTTTGTTTTAGTAATTATGTTGTTTACGTATCTACCATAACTTATATTTAATAATCACACATACTTTTTTTTTTTGCAAGTTTATCTGGCTGTAAAAGAAAGAGAACCGGACAGAAGTGTGACGGTTTTAAGCCTCCCAAAGATGATGTTTTGTTTTGACAATGATGGTACTAAAAGGATGCAATGCTTAAACGATGGAAACTAGAAGCATGAAAAGACACTCAGAATGATGAGGGAAGTAAAGAAGCCGTGCAGTTAATTTGCTATTAAAATTAAAGAAGTTTTTCCGTTTTCCTTTTAGCAATCCGAAAATCTCCGATGGACTAGGTTGAATGTTTCTTAACCCTTTGTCGATTCTGGAATATCATACCTTAGGGTGGTGATAAGTGCATTTCTAGTATTTGATTTAATAACTTTATTTCATAGTTGGAGATGCTTAACGACAAATATCAGACTTAAAGTGTTCGTTTTATACGATAGACGAGGAGATGAAAGTATAGAGTTGATAGAGTACGGCAGTGTGAACATTGTATATAGAGAGTAGAAAGCAAGGAAAGGTCAATTTGGAGGAAGGCACGATTCGAGTTAATCATCTCCTTTACCAAACTCCCCTGTTGGGGAGGGATGGTAAGGGGTATCTCCCCCAGCCACCACTGGCAAAAGAGATGATTGCCGATTTGCTCCCGTACGTCTATTCACCGCCGGACTGACCGAAGCCATCATCGGTTTCTCGCCCATCTAGAAACTCCACTCAGCTACAATGCTTCTCCCAATGTATAGCAGATTCTAGTTAAGAATTTCCTTCCACACCCAGCTCGGACATGGTTTAGAACATTCATTTTCGCCAGCTAAAGTCTTACCTGGGCTTGTATAGCAGTATCCGTTTCACATAGTTGAGGTACTTCTGTGCCAAAGTGCTATAGTATATTCGTAGTACGGATTTGTGTAGTAAACTGCACCAATTGATTAGCCTACCCAGTCCAAAATTTCCATGAAGTTCCACGGAACTTCCGAGTAGTTTTTATAACTTCCGATACTTTGATGAACTCCTAAGAAGTTCATAAATATTAAGTTACTGTTGAACAGTTCAAGATCTTCCGAATAATACCTGGGCATTCTGAAGTTGAAATTACCGATGTAAAGGCCCACGCACATTAGATCCGGATCGGACGAGTTGCGGCAAAATGACAGCTAAATCTATTGTCTAACTGTCAAATTAACGTCAACGCAACGCAAACGGATCTAATGTGGGTGGCCCTAAAGATCCTGAATTTATAAAGAGACGACATCTTATCCATTTGACAGGTCTTCTGCTCGATTGGACTGACTTTTCCTATGACTTTGACGGACAACCGATTGTTCCAATTTTGACATGTGGCCCTTAAGGGAGCGTAAGTTAAACACAACTTGTGAAATCTGAACTGAAACTGAAGCAATCGCCTTTCTGTATTTCTTATTTATGTTTTCGATCGGTTCTCACCAGGAGCGTACAATATGTTATGATAGTGTGTCTGTCAATTCATAATTTATCCAAAAAAAAAATATTTCAAAATGGAACCATGCAACTAACTTGACAGCACCGAATTAACCTGCTGAATCATAAATATAATCTTTGATCTTATTTTCTTTTCGCATGCGTTTTGATCTACGCAGCATCTTTGACGAATCCTGCTTATTTCCTTCGTGCAGGGGGTAAGTCACTCTGCCACCTTGTGCCTGTGTTGATTGTGTTTTTGGGTGGGTGTCGGAAAGGGATTCTGCGTGTTTTTGAATGACGACCTAGCTGTCAAAAAGTTGAGCGAAAATTAATGAATACTGGCAACCATTACATCCACATTTGTTTACAAACAGAATTTTTTTTTGCTCTCGTCAAAAATTTACCAATTTTATGATGCACAATGTAAGCATGGAATCCCAGTAAAAAAGCACACGTCAACGTAAAAAATTTACAGGAATTCAAATTCTCATCCCTGATCGTCATCCGCATTACCTATCTAAAAGAGTGTGCTGTATGTATATGTCCGACTCCGATCTAAAAAAGTACTCCCTCAGCCTTCACATTCTCATGCTTGAGATCCTGGCTTAAACCAGTAAAGCCCTCTCGAATCCATCCCAAACGAATTCCAGTCGAAATCAAGCCCTGATAACCCAGCCGAGCATAAAGTCTTCTAAGTAAAATCAACCGGTGGAAACTAACGATTTTAAATTGGCTCACTACTTGACTAGCCTATTGGTTTCAAGCAAATCAATTAACGTATCCCATTCTAACATTCTTGGCTCTAGACAGTGCTGCCAGAAAACATTGAAAAATTGGTTCTCATGGTGGTTGAAGTTGAAGGGTGTTTCCGTGTGTCGAAGGGTGTTTTTGATGTGTTTAACACAAGGTGGCAGAGTGACTTACCCCCTGACGTGCACAATCCTCACAGAAGTCCAGCTCTTCCGACAACGAATCTCCATCACCAGTGACCATGTCTCTTCTGACCAATAAACAAACACTCTTCATGTTGAGATGTCTTAAACGACGATGACATACGTTCTATTCTGCCACAGCCACTTTCGCAGACGGTTGCCGCTGCTCTTGGATTCCAAGCCAGTATATGCCATTCTTCACAATAGCTCGTGCAAACACCTTCCCATCTCTCGGAATTGGCGTTGACGGCACCGTCGAAAAATTTGCTCTTTCAGCAAATATAAATAGTTTCTTATGGGAATTTTCGGTGGAGTGAAAGGATAGTACAAAGTCCGCCATGTTTCACGCACAGTCTGACGTTTGCTTATGGATTTTCTCGAAGGAGTAAAGAGCTACAGAGTCGCCGTCAACGCCAATACTTGCACCTTGTCTGGCGAAAACGACCTTGTTACCACGCTCCACCAACTTCTGCACCGTTATCCCTGCATTCTGGAACGTAAATCGCATCGTGCAAGTCACCTTTACATCCTCCTCTCCATCCGCTATGATTTACCCCGATATGTGTCGTACATTTGAACACTATCCATAGCGATGGCAATTTGAAACGGGAACTTCAACTTCGCCACACCCGAGAGCAACGTCACATTGTTCACCAGGTGTTCTGAGCACCCCGAATCGAGAATATGTTGGGAATAGATGAGCACCTTGATGTATAGCCACCTTGGCTGAAGAGAAACAAAAGTAACTTGATGATGGCTACACTGTATTTTATACCTTTTGACGTTTCTAATTAATCGCACAATAAATCCTCAACTTACACACGTGTTTCTAGTTTTTCTCCCCGAAAGTATCCACGGTTCTTTTGTCTGCTCTCTGGTGCTCCCTTTGTTCGCTTTCCCGGTGATTCCGTGCTTCCCTGTTGGTGCATAAAGGTCTACAGAATAAACTACATCTCACTCACCTGAGGAAAGCTATAACCGTGAACTAGTAGCATAGAGGTAGCTCTAAGGTTCCGAAGAAACGTGCCATTTTTTTTGGCTCAGCTCTGGGGTGGCATTGCGCAACTCGAAACGAAAAACTTTTTCATACAAGCGTTCCTACAAAATGTCTTTCGTTTCGAGATGCGCAATGTGCCCCCTGGTACTCTCTGCGGTCCCAAGCTAATCGAAGCACCCCTCGAAACATAGGAAAATCTACGAGCCCCTCATTTTATCTGTCAAACTGTTATAGCGAATCAAAACAAACATAGTGTAGTGCTAGAATTTCGACTGGAATTACTTACTTAACGATCCTGCGCACCTCCAGGGGTGCAAAGGGCCTGTGTGAAAGATTTCCATCCTGGGCGATTACTAGCTTTGGCCTTGACCTGTGCCCAAGTCAAAATTTCGGTCAACGTTCTTAATTTCACTGCCAAGGCTCCGCCGCCACGAGCCTCTGGGTCTGCCTCTGCTGTGATGTCCTGCTGGATTCCAGTCCAGTGCTTGCTTGCAGATTTCGTTTCCGCTCCGCCATAGTGTGTGGCCGACCCACCTCCACTTTCGTTCACAAACGATGAAGCTCGGAATTTGAGATCCAATTGTGGGGCCACCAGGCACGAATTATGTACCGCAGGCATCGGTTGATAAACACCTGCAGCTTCTGATTGTTCTCCGCTGATACACACCATGTTTCACTGGCGTATAGCAGCACAGACTTCACGTTCGAGTTAAAAATTCGGATTTTGGTGCGTCGACTGATCTGATTAGCTTTCCATACATTTCGCAAACTGGCAAAAGCAGCCCTCGCCTTCTTAATCCGTGCACCTCGCTCTTGGTGCCGCCGTCCAACGCTATCTGGCTGCCAAGATATTGGAAGCTTTCGACTTTCTCCACTTCCTGCCCAGCTACCGTGAAATTGGAACGGTTTTCCGTGGTGACATCCAACGATTTTGTCTTGTTGACGTTGCTGGTTAGACCTGCTTCAGAGGAGCGTTCCACAAGGTCGTCGAGCTTACTTTGCATGTCAGAGCGCCGTTGTGTTAATAACGCAACATCATCAGCCAAATCGAAGTCGTTGAGATACTCCATAGTAATAGCAACAAACAATACGAAACTAACGATTTTAAATTGGCTCACTACTTGACTAGCCTATTGGTCCCAAGCAAACGATTAACGTGTAGAGTTCAGTAATATTATACGTTATGCAGAGGTACGCCTACAATACATCCCTGTATTCGTCTAGTAGTATTGGCGAACTATAGGAACGAGAGGATGATCACAAGCGATATCGAGTTAGTTGCGATACGAATATCACTGGAGGTGGACGACAGTAGCTGGTTAAAGCAGAACGAACCGAGAGGCATCGGGTG